GGCATGAACATGAATTATGTAAAAGCTTGACATTTTATACACTCAAATATGATTTGTGCTGTTCAAAGAAGCCAGCCTGCTCCAACATATTTTAAATCTCCTTTTTCATGTCCTTCAAAATGGATTCAATATTCAATATTCAACTGTCTCTCTCCCTCTCTCTCTGTCTCTCTCAACCTCTCTCTCTCTTTTGCATTTTGCAGGGACCAAAAACCATTCACAGTTTTATTAGTGTACTGTGCATGATACAATTAGTTTAAAATATATTATAACTATAAAATAATAACATAATGCCATTTAGTGTTGACATGATCTGACCTTCAAAGAATACCAAAAAATAAAAATGTAAACACATAGACCTATTTTGTTTTAATGTTTTCATGAAAATTCATGGGTGAAGTTGGAAACGTGTCTGCTTTACAAGGCAATATAGCAACAGAGAAAAACAGTTCTCACCACTTTTTTCATTTTCTGGCCGAGTCCTTACCTAAAACTGCATCTCTAAGTACTGTGCTCTGTGAGTAATCAATGTGCTATGTGATCAAGGTAAATCCATGATGTTCTATGATCCTGTTTTCTCCCTTTTAATTCTCAAAGTTAATCATATCTTATGACTATAGGCAATATGAAAGATTAATACCCCAAATGTAAGGAGAAACCATCATGTGATATGTAGAAGTCCTGTATATTATCGTTATGTACAATTATTGCCTATCTATTAATTACTGAATGGGTGACTATTTTAGATTAAATATACTTTACGTGGGTTTTATGTATATAATACTATTGTATGTAGTAAAACTCAAACTTCTCCAGAATAAACTGCTCTTTAGACCACCAAAATAAAGGTATAACACTACCTCAGACATTATTCTTGTGGATAAGACATTTTTGAGCAGTTAGAATGACAAGTCAGCAGGCAGTCTGTGACTATATGTTTGGAACTGGAAAACATGACTGATTCTAGATCAACAAAATATTAAATTAATTAAAATACCAGTGGGGCCGTGGATGTAGCTCAGTGGCACCGCACCTACCTGGCAAGCACAAGGTCCTGAGTTGAATTCCCGGTACAAAAAAAAAAAAAAAAAAAA